TTTTTCTAGTCATTTTTGTTCATCGGATATAGACCTTAAAATTTTGCCTAATAAAACAGGAAATTACCGAATTTCTTCTCATAAAGCCCACAGACATTGTCAACTTCGACTTCGATTATCTCGCTTTCTGAAAAAGATATTCAGAAGTGGTATATTGACAAAATATTTATCATAAAAAGAGCAATATTTTATTAGTTGACCACTTTTTGATATCTTTTATAGGAACCGAGAAACCTTATGAAACCTCTACAAAGTTAAAAACTCTAGCTTTTCTAAAGCTTTTCTACTTCTAGATGTACAAAAACTAAAGCTAAACTCACCAAAATCTGAGTAATCGTGTCACCAATTCTGACTCTCCTATGATATTCCCGCATTGTTTCATACCGCGCTCTGATTTCCAACGCTTCTAACTCATCCATCGATGCGATAACTCTCTTTCGTTTTCTCTGCATTTTGACTTGTTGAATCATCAGTTGACCCACAATTCGCTCCATCTCTTCATACTCTTGGTCATCGTCAAGATTTGCTGGGTCGTAGACAAAAAGATCGTCGTTGGGGGGCATTCTGGGGAGTTCGAATTTCGATGATTACCGTAATACTTGTCAACTTCGAGCCAATTTTTCTCGGTTTCTATGCAAGATGCCAAGAATGTCAACTGATAAACTGTTTGTAATATTCTGATAAAAGTTTAGTAGTTGACCTTTTGATTTCTTTCACAGTAATCGAGAAGGATTGGAATGGAATAGGGGCCCCTTCTAATACAGGTTTTACGGTATTCGAGAAAGTTGTTGCAAAAAATTTTGTCTAAACAAAAATTGAATGAAGTGCGGAAAAAGGAAAAAAGAAGAAAGATGAGTGAAGTTGAAATTTCTATGGCAACCGGGATGAGCCATTAGAAGAGTAAGAGAGGTAACAGAGAAACAGAGAGAAGGTTCACTCGGCATCTTCTTTTTTATTTTATGCCTTATTCAAAAATGAAAATTATAGGGAGGAGAAAAATTAGGGAAAAAATTCCATTTGCCATTAAAGTGCCCATAGGGTCTGAAAATTTCAGAAGTTTTCAGTTGAATCTAGTTCGGCATTCATCTAGTTTACAATGTAATTAAACTATCGAAATAAAGCCTGAAAAATTTGAATCATTTTTCAACAAAAATCAATTTTCTATCTTAATTTTGAAGAGAGTTTTAGACAAATTTGTTCAAAGGGACGCGGTGGGCTGGAGGTTGTAAGCGACGTGCACGACAGGAAAGGGAGCGGCGCCTGTCGCGCTCGCTGCTCACCACCTCCCGCCGACCGAGTCCCCGGGACAAACTGATCTATAACTCTCTTCAAAATCGAGCTAGAAACTTGATTTTTGTTGCAAATTGACTCAATTTTTTGAAACTATTTTTTCTTGTTAAATCATTTGCTTTACAACATTTTTTGAGGTTTTATGACACAAAAAAGTAATAATTTATTTACAAACTCATTAGATCCTCTCAAAAACAAGCATTTTTACATTGATGCGGGACAAATTCAATTTTTCAAATTTTTCCATCGCATCATCATTAACTCGGATCCATCTATCCTCCTCAGATCTGACCCATGCCATATAATGACCGCTAGAGGATTTCTCCCCAGTCCGCTCCGCCAACGATCTGATTTTCCACTTGGAACCAAACATCTGAACCTCTGAATCTTCATCCAGGTCCTTAATCGGAGTCGCATCGAAGCCAAAGACGAGATAGGGACTTTGAGTGGCAATGTCCCTCATTTTCAATACTTCCTTCGCTTCACAACTTGGGCATGGAGTTGAGATTTTCCTCGGGGCCGCGAAAGTGTCCTGGAGGCTCTTTTGGAATTGGCCGTTTCGAATCACCAGACGCGTAGAGAAGTGATGAATCTCATTTTCTCTTGAAGTCTGGTGGCAGGCTTGGCAATCCTTTTGGATATAGGAGACCGAGTCGAGTTGGGATCCTGCGAGTGGTACTTCGAGGACCAGATTCTGAAAATTAGAATGTTTGAGATAAACTAAGAATTATAGTTTTGGCTATATTCTAGACCAAGACAATGTTCTAATATTGAACGTTGAGCCAGCTAAACAAAGACACTGCTCTTTGAGTTCAGTTATCTAGGTCTCTGTCAAAGATATCAAAAATCTGTGAACTGATAAAATGTTTGCCATAGCATCACCGACCTTTAATTAGTTTACAGATTTTTAATAACTTTTATAGGAGCCGAGATAATTGAGCTCAAAGTACAAGCTCGCGCCATAAAGCTAGATGTCTGCCGAATGAGTGTTTTTGACCATGATTATATTGGTTCCTTTGAGAGATTTGAAAATTATGTCAACTGATAAAATGTTACTGATATTATGGTGAACATTTTGTTAGTTGACAGAATTTTGATATATTTTTTAGGAACCGAGATAACTGAGCTCAAAGTACGGATGATGATCCAAAGTGTGCGTCATGAGGATAAGACCCTCGTCTCCCAAAGGTGGAGTGTTCTGAACATTTCAAAAAAAGTAACACTTTTTCGTAAATGCGGATCAATTGAGTAGGTCAAAAACCAAGAACACTAATTTTTAGACATATCGAACTATTTTGGAGCTCACGGGACTCAAAATATACTTTTAAGGTGTATCAAGACTCTGACAATGACAGGAATGTCCAGAAAAATGAATTAGGCTTTTGTGCGACTATGCACTTTAACAATTCTAAACTAACACTTTTGAATTTTTTAAAACACACTTCATAACACTGTAAAAAGTGAAATTGTAGCCCTGTGAGCTTAAATATGGCTAGAGGTCCTTAACGACCTCCGTCTTTGAGCTCAATTATCTCGGTTCTTGTGAGAGGTATCGAACATCTGTCAACTGATAAATTGTTTATCGTAAAATAACCCACATTTTATCAGTTGACAAAATTTGATGTCTTTTATAGGAGCAGAGATAATTTAGCTCAAAATTGACTGTTAGGGTCGCGTGCTACAGTGTGCATAAACACGGGACCCGTCTCCAGAGTTGGTGTCCTTTATAATCGGTTATCTCAACTTCTGTAAGAGATATCAAAAATTTGCCAACTGATAAAATGTTTATCATAATATCAACAATATTTTGTTGTTGCCAAAATCTTGATATCTCTTGTAGGAATCGAGATAGTTGAGTTTAAAACCGAGTTTAAAACTAAATCTGCCACAATTAAGATGACGTTCTTTTTGCACTTTGAGCTCATTCAAAAGATGCCGTTCTAACAGAGTAACTCTACTTCTGGCTTCAATCTAAACTATATACTCACCCCCATTAAAATATCAAACACGGTATGAATATCATGCTGGCCCACATGATACTTCTTCGGAAGTGTCCACCTCCATTCTTTAGCCGACACCCAATCTCCTTTGAAAATCTCGGCTATTTTATTTGCCGTCGACGAGTGATCTCCATATTCCAAGAAGAGTGTCCGGAAAAAAATTGAGTGGATTTGAAGCCTTTCGAATGATAGTTCTCCAATCGAAGAAATTTCATTCCTCTGGATCCGAATTTGAATCTAGGGCGTTGCCATGGTTTCCAGGTAGTCGATTTTGGGATAAAGGAGTCTTGGAGTCCGGAATTTTTTGCGTTTTTCTGGGCTTCGACTTTTGACTTCCTACATCCTGCCATTCCCAATATTTCTTCTACTGGTGGACCTTCTGGTTTCTGAATTGTCGTTTCTGAAGTCGAAGTTTCTAGTTCAGCAGGTGGATCCTGAATGGTCGTTCCTGAAGTAGAAGCGGGGGAACTTGGCGTCGTGGAACTTGATGGGAGTGAATGATCCTGGTTCAAGTACTGCCCATATGGATTGAATTGGAAGGGACATTCTGGGGTCCAATTTTGAAACACATTCATTTGAAGATGGTTCAAGCCAGCCGGTTGGACATCAGATAGATCCGTAAATCTCGGAGCTTCCGGAACACTTGCCGCCACGTGTTGATTCCGAAAAGTCGATCCAAAACCGAAAACTTGCTCTTGGAGGTTCATCGATGCTGGCAGAGCATTCTGGGGGTTGAATTCCGAGCAAGCCTGAAAAGTTCAATCGTTTTTTGGACAATCTTAACCAAAAAAGATAGTCTTTAAAATTCTGATTATTTTTCAAAAAAAAAAAACGTTTCTAGCTCAATTTTGAATAGAGTTATAAATAGGTTTGTTCCTAGGACGCGGTCGGCA